AGCAGGGTGGTGTCCGTGAAGAAGAACGTTAGGGAACAGCGGAGAGCAGGAGCCGCATTTTATGTGCCCGTAAAGGGATCAGCACGTGGTGTGGGGGGCATGCGATGAAAAGGGGAAAAACAGCAGACACTTTTTCTTTTCACTTGCATTGTCTCGCGCATCTCCGTGTTGCTTATATTTGTATATGCAGAAAGATGTCAAGATATACACATATGCCTGGCCCTCTATTTCTAGTGAATCGGACGTGGGGACGACTTTATTGGTCTCTGTGTGGATAAATCTGTCCGCATCGACTCTAAAGAGTTGCCACAAACGTCTCAATAAAACATAAAGCTACTAAAAAAGTTGAGATTTTTTCTTTTTTTACTCCTACTGAAGAATAAAAATAAGGAAAGAGGAGAAGGTGCCTAAAAACGTTTGTTTTTTTTTTCCTTTACCTTTTCCTTGTTTCTCGTTGACTTTTTTTTTTTTTTAGTCACTTATGTGAACTGAACATTTTTCTTTCCTTTGTTTGTTATTTTCCGTGTACCTTTATTTTGTTTCTGCTCCACAGGATCAAGAAGATTAGCTTTTTGACGATCTTTCTTGGTGTCCCCTTGCGCATACGATGAGCCTGCAGTGTATATTTCTTCCTGTGTGTCTATTTTTTATTTATTTTTATTGGTGCTGGTGGGGAGAATACATTCTGGACTTTGAATTCACAGGAAGGTTTACTCTGTAGGAGTCGATAAGTAGGGTTTTCTCTTCTGCCTCGCAACCAGACAGCAAGGAGCGTATACAATTTTGTTATTTTGGCATTGCAGTGGGTAATTTGCTGTGTTTCTGGCCCAGTCCATGATGGTACTCGGGTTTTCTTCTTGGGCTGAATTTTACGTCTATGCGACGTGTATTCTTTTGGGTGTCTCTATGTTGATGCCAATGAATGCCCTGACATCAGCACCACGGTACATGGTGGATTACTACCGTTATGTAACAGGGAACCCCAAGGCCGAACCCAACTTGCCGGTCTTTTGGGCCAACATTTTCACCTTTTATAATGTTGTTTCGTTGGTGACGCAGATTATATGTGGACCTACCGTATTGACCCGCTTGGCGAGGAGACTGTCTCTCAGCAACCGCTTTATTTTTGCGCTTACATCTATGATGCTGGAGGTTCTCGTGATAGTTGTGCTTCCGACGGGAAAAATCTCACAGAATTCCGCCATCGTCGCGTTTATTATTGTCACGATTGTGGCGGGTGCAGGCAAGTCATACTTGGAGGCAACGTGCTACGTGTTGGCTGGAACCATGCCCCCGAAGTTCATGTCAGCCGTCATGTTTGGTTGTGGCTTCTCGGGTCTGATTGCGTCGACGATGCAGTCTATCATTAAGGCATCCATGGTGAACACTTATGAATCGGCACTCACGCAGGCGCACATTTACTTCTCACTTGCGTTGGGAATTATGCTTATCTCGCTCATCATGGCACTGTTGCTGCGGTACAACTCCTTTGCCCAGACGTACGTTGCCGAATACCGCATGCTGAAACGCTCCCAGGATGAAGAAAGGCGGAATGCCGAGGTTTTGGATGGATGCTACTTGGAAGAAGTGAAGAACGGGGGCAATTATACTGTGGACAAGGATGAACCAAACGCTGGAAAGGATTCCGTCGGAGATAGCGAGAGCTCACCGGATGCTGCTGAGGCCAATATGACAACTGCGGAGCAGCTGTTGGCAACACCTGTGATCCCAGTGATAAAGAAGATTTATTCAATGCAGATTGCATGTTTTTGCTCCTTCTTTTTGGCACTCATCATTTTCCCCAGCTTTGTGATTCCCATTGACCGCGCCCACGAATGGTTTGCTACCATTGCTGTCCTTTGTTACAACGGTGGCGATGCCGCTGGCCGGTTCTTGACATCCTTCAAGGTGTTTTGGGTTTCTCGTCGCGTCACGCTGTATGCGATCTTCGCCCGTTTCCTGTTTATCCCGCTGATATTTTTGTGTATCTATCACTACATTCCTGGCCATGTCGCGCCTTGCATTTTCATGTTCCTTATTGGCCTGACGAACTTCTTTGGTGCACTGACGATGGTCTACGGCCCCGGCACACCGGATCTGAAGACGGATGGGGAGAGGGTGATGGCTGGGCAGCTTATGGGAATTGCGCTGCTGGGAGGTGCATCTTTTGCGTCTCTCGTTGCTATGGGTGTAGTGATAGTCTTGCCGTAGGAGTGTACACTGGGTAGTGAAGATGATACACACACACGCTCTCTCTCTCTCTCTCTCTCTCTCTCGCACGACTCTACGTTACGGGGGTTCGGGGGGGGGGGGGGGGTTAGGGGGGGGGGGGTTATAAGGTAAGG